CCTGCCTTGCCTTTTTGCTTTCCCAGTGGCAGGAGAAGCTGCCTGCGGGGAGCAGCCCCGGGGGAGGATGGCTGGAGCCCCTCGGCAGCAAGGGGACACAAAATACCTTGCTGTGTGTGTGTGCAGCTTCAAATTGCAAGGGGGAGGGGGGGGGCTTCTGCAGAGGTTTAGATAGCAAAGAGGAGGCAGGGGGCATGCACACCGGCAGGGTTAAATGCTTATAAAAGTTAATAAAATGAGTTGGAGCTGCCCTCGTGTTGAAACAAATAGTGATGCCTTTCCTGGGATCTTGTAGATCACCAAAAATCTCACAAAAGTCAGGTGGAATTGTGTTATCCGTATAGTCCTGATGCTATAGGTGACAGTCGGCTGTCCGCCTTGGGGGGGGTTCGGGTCTCCTTCTCCCTGCCCTGGTGAACGGTACCCAACGTGTAACATAAATGGGTGCAGTGATGTTTGTCCTCCAGCGGCTGCCGATGTGCTGGAGAAAAATCAGTTGTTGGACCAAGGGGGCATGGTATGAGGAGCGGGCGGTTGGCTCATGGCATGTCTCTGAGGGGACTCAGATGAGTTTCGGCATCGGGAGGAGGGAAGCTGTGTGAGTGGTGGGCACCTGATTTATTACAGCGGTCACAATCAGAACTTCTCTGTTTGCTGTGGTTAAAAAAAATAAAAATAAATTTCTTGTTAGCAGGTGAGAAAGTCAGTCTGCAGAATACTAAATATTATACATTTAAGATGAGCAGTTAGCCAGCATGGGAGGATAAGTAGGCCAAATTGTTCTGTGTTGTAAATCACAGGAGTCAGTGGAGTTAAAATTAGCCCATCGTATGCTAAAGATCTTGAAATCAAGGCAATTTAAAGATGGGAGAATAATATATGGGTTTGTTGGGTTCTTTTTGCACTTCTGTGAAGGTACTAGCCCCAAAACATAGCTTTAGCCTGACCCTTGGAGCAGTTTTATTTTAAAGGCTTTATTTTTTTTATTTACTTTAACATTTGCATGGGAGAAGTTTTTCAGAACACGTGTTACAATAAACCTTGAATTCCAGCTGTTGTAGTGTTCTGGATGACTTTTTGTTTCTTTTGGATGAAGAAGATTTGTTTTACAGTAACTGTCCGTACTTTTCTCTCTTTTATTGGTACATATTTTGCACATACTTATACACCAAATTTTATGTGGTTTTTTGTTCTTTGCACAATCATGTATTTTATTTTATTTATTATCATGTAAACATGAGGGTTCTATGGGATTTAATTATTCATGTATTGCATGTGTCCATTTAGGTATATCCAGCATCTTATAGTCAAGTATAGTATTTATACAAAGAAATTATATATGAAATTATTTTTCCATAATTTCTTGATCTTACTTTCGTTTACCTAATGGAGGAAAAACAACTGTTCTGCAAAATATCTCTTACATACAAATGAGCCACCTTCTGAGAAAATGTGCTTAAGATATAACGAGTGATGGGAAGATACAAAAGCCAAAGCAGGACAGAGGAAAAAAAAATTCAAAAGCTATCTTAAAAGTCTCAGATATTGATGAAAACGTGCTGGATAACATTCAGATTGCTTATTCATCCTGGTAACTACTTTTTCCTTTTTGTTTATCCATTTCACTTAATGATTTTCTGTGTATTGTTACAGACATCTCAACAGTGAGCATGCGCTGGATGATAGAAGTACAGCCCAATGTAGAGTACAAATGCAGGTTGTACAGCAGTTAGAGCTACAGGTAAAATAAAATTTATTTTAATATTACCTCAGTATTAATCAAATCCAATTCTCGACAGCAATAAAAAATGAGTTCTGCTTTTCCCCCTGTGATTGAAAACCAGCTTTCAAAACCTTCTTGTAGTAGTTTTAAAAACCGTCAAAAGAAACTGCAGCTTCATTTCCTCTTTTCTAAACCGTAACTTGAAAAGAAATAGGAAACTTAAACAGGCTGACTGATTGGAAATCCCTCAGTATGTATCTAATGCTTTTTCTACTCACCCGGGGAGGGGGGGCGGAGGGGGGCAAGCGGAATATGGTCCCCTTCTTTTAGAGTTGTTGATACTTTGGGGAAATGGTTGATGTTTATTTCAAAACACTGCATGACCTGGCTTGTTTGATGGTCTCTCATATACTAACACTCTCCATGTATTTATTATTATTATTATTATTATTGCTGCATCTATTATTTTTTTGCCATTTGTAGCCAATGGGGTTTTTTAAAGTGCCAAAAGGGGGTAAATTGGAATATATTGAATGCGATGCAAAGGTATGACGTGTTTGTGTAACTGCCTTTCCAAATGCTTTTGAGTCCTGTCTGTCTCCCCGCACCTCGCTGCTCTGGCTGGGCGGCTTCCACAGCGTGTCTGTGTGTAGGCAAGAGGTTAGCGAAGAAGGGGAAATTAAAACAATGTTGTACATTATATAGTTACCAGCTATTGAAAAACCTATTTTGTATGCAAGACAGCAGTGTAGAGATATATGGAAAGCCTTGGGCTAAGTACAGAAGATAATTACATTTGGAATTTTACTGAGTTAAGTCATTTATAGCTTCAAATAGTTGGAGAGAAAAATCAGCAAAAACACACTTAAACTTCTTGTTGTTACTTTTCAAGATAAGCATTTAAAAAAAATGTCTTTTATCTTCTTATCTTACAAATTACCCTTTTTCTTTCATAGATATTTCCTAAATTTTACTTTCAGGAACACGCTGGTCATGACAGTCTTTCACTATTAGCTGAAGCAATATAAACTATTTTAATACCAGTTTTATAAAAATCAAACTACCAGTCATAAAATACCAGAATCTTGCAGAAAATGTTAGGAGAAATGGTCTGTTATTTTAACAAGTTTCTCGGGAATTAGAAAAAAAAAAAATAATCTACAGTCTTCCTGGTAAAGCGAGATACGAGATAATCTTTTACCAAGATGCAGTAATATTCAGGCTGAAGGTAAATCTCGATTCTTCAGTTAGAGTAAGCTTGAAAAGAATTAATCCTGCAGTCGCTGGGAACGGCTGTGCCCGGAACTACAGGAGGATGCCGTGTGTTAACAGTTGGACAGGACAGAGATGATACTTGGTTATCACCTCTCCGTAAGCCTTCGACAATATTTTTGAAAGATTTTATCAGCTGTGCATTCTGCTAATTGTTATAAGTGACTAATAGTATAGAGCTTCACACCTGTGAAGCGCTGGGGAATACCTCTTAGCTTAGCGTCATTGCACGGGAAGGCAGCGTGAGGTCCCCAGGACAAAGTGGTATGAGAGCCAGAAAGTTCTGGATTTGCTTTTAACAATCATACTAGTGCAGTGGATAGGATGAACCAGAGGCTTCATTTAGACAGGGATGTCGATACCAGAGACCATCTATGCATTGGCCCCCAAGGACAGGGGGAGGAGGAGAGTGGTCCTGCTTCTGAAATGTACCTGTAACTCCTCTCTTCTCCCTCTCCTTTCATCCTGTGTGGCAGTCCTCTGATACTTTAAAAAAAAAAAAAAAAGCCTGCCTAAATATGTATGGGGATCCTCCAGTGCCTAGTTTGCCTGGCTGTGACCTGTTTTTGCACAGAACCGTAGTAAAATCGAAGTCCGGCCCCATAGCAGGGGTTTCAGTGACGTTGGCTGCAGCGCCCGACGTGTAGCAGGAGCGGGTGGACTAAGACCATTGACCTGATGCTCCCGCAATGGAGCAGTTACCAAGAGAGTGGCAACAACAAGCCCTGTGGCTGACTGTTTGAGCGTTGTGAGCTAGATAGAAGAGGGACCCATAGCCTTCCCCACCTGACCTGCGGTGCTCAGCACTGACGAAGAACTTTGCCTTCCAGTGGAGCTGTGAAGTATCACATGCTGTTCAGGGTCCAACACTATGGCAAGATCTAAATGCCGCACTGATTCATCCAGGTACAGCCCCAGCGAGACAGGGGTAGAATTTAACAAATTCATTCCACCTGAGGGATACACTTCAGGTTTTAGGTGTCATGGACCCAAATGCAAGCCTTTCTTTTTTCCTTTATGCTCTTATTTATTTTACGCACAATAGTTTCGTCAGTGTCGTAGACAGAAATAAGTGTAATGTCTTTTAAAGAAAGCAATTTTTAAATTAACTTTTTGAAAAAAACATGTCAGATCTGTTTTGTGTTTGATTGCAAATGCCCCTTTGCAGAAGTATCTCCAAGCTTTGGTCTCAGCATTTCCATCACAAAAATACTTAAAGTATCACAGACAAGGTAGAGATCTTCTCATATTTCACTTTGTTTAAACCATCATGACATGATCATTTCTTGCTGTTATAAGTAGTGAGAATGGGGCTGCTGGGTGAAACACAAACACAGGAACATACCCTTATCCTTACCTAGTTCTTAGCTGGAATAGGACATCCGTTTTGCAGCACCACCTTTGGGTGGAAGAACATTTCAGGACAGCAGCATGGCTATGATAACTTCAAGAAGGTATCTCCTAATGGGGGAACACGAAGACAGCTGCCCATTTTCAGTGTAGTGAAAACACTGCTTGGGCCTCTTTTCCTAAAGCATCCATTGACACTCTTGAAAAGTGGGTCCTCAACCTTTCTACTGCACAGCTTAGGCACGTGACGGGAGAGAAGAGGCTCCATCTTGGTTGTCTCTTGCATTGCCCATGACTGGCTGCCTTCTCCTCTGTCATTGGTCTGTCCAAAACCCCACTGCTGAAGCAATCTCCCCTTCCAGTTGATGTGGCCATGTTGCTCCTGTGGAATGCCCTCGCGGGGTTTCCGTGCATTCCT